TCCTTTCCTTTTCCTTTCTTTTTTCCCCTTTTTTCCCAACAAAAAACTCCAAAAACGGCCCATTTTGACCCCAAGTTTGCACTTCCGCGAAACCCCCGCAAACGCCTAGCGCCCGCTGGCCCCTGCGCACCGCTTTTTCATTCGCTTCTTTCACTACGCTCTTCAAGTGCTGCTGCTGCTGCTGCTGCTGCTGCCGCTGCTGCTGCTGCTGCTGCTGCTGCTGCTGCTGCTGCTGCTGCTGTTGTTGTTGTTGTTGTTGTTGTTGCTTTGCAGCTTTCGTTTGCTGCTCCTGGTGTTTCTGCTGCTGCTGCTGCTGCTGCTCTTGCGTTGCAATTTTCGCTTGCTGCTGCTGGCTGCTCTGCTGCTGCTGCTGCTGCTGCTGCTGCTGCTGTGTTGCTTAATTTCTTTTTTGCTTCACAAGTTTGTTTGCTTTCAGGTTTCACTTAATTAGTTTTATTTTAATTTGTAATTCATTTCCTTTTTGCTGCTGCCCTTCGCCGGCCGAGCAGCAGCGGCGAGCTGTCTGTACACCTTACGGCAGCCGCCAGAAACGAAGAAGTGAAGTTATAAATCATTTTATATTTCAATTATTTCAATTTGACAATTTATTTTTCATTTCTAAATATTTAATTTATATTTCAACTGTTTAATTTGATAATTTATTTTCTATTTCTAAGTATTTAATTTAATTCAGAAAAGCGGCTTCGAAAGCTGTTGGCACGAATTAGAAAAACACTTTCCAGCTTTTGCTGCTGCTGCTCTTCATGCTGCTCCTGCTGCTGCTCTTGCTGCTGCTCTTGCTGCTACTCTTGCTGCTGCTTGGTTTGTTTAGATTTAATCCAACAAAAATAAAGTTATTTGTTATTTCCACTTGCTGCTTCTTTTGCTGCTTTAAATGAAAATAAACTTTTGTGCTTCTGCCTTAATGCCAAGGGATTATCTGCAGCAGCTGTACTTCGAACTTTTATTTGCTGAGACTGCTGCGTTTTAGCAGCAGCAGCAGCAGCAGCGACAGCAGCAACAGCAAGGGGAGCAGCAGCAACAATCGCAGCAGCACCAACAGCAGCAGCTGCAACAGCAGCAGCAACTGCAGAAATGGAGAAAGGAACGGCAAGAGCAGCAGCAGCAGCAACGGCGGTAGCAAAAGCATAATAATCAGTAGAATTTGTTGCAGCAGCAGCAGCTGCTGCTGCTGCTGCAGCAACAAATTCTACTGAACGGCATTTGCCTTTGTGGGGTCCGCTGAACATCTGTGCATGCACCCGCGTGCTTCCTCAGTGCAGTTGTTGCTGCTTCTGCTGCTTCTGCTGCTGCTGCTACAGTTGCTGCCCTTGCTGCAGTTGCTGCTGCTCCTGCTGCAGCTGCTGTCGCTGCTGCTGCAGTTGCGGCTGCTGCTGCAGTCGCTGACGGTACGTTTCACCAGGGGCTGTTCAGGCGCAGCTGCTGCTGCTGCTGAGCTTTAAAAGGATTAAATTGTTCTAATTAAAAGGAATTGATCTAATTGCAGTTTGCGGATTAATTTTAGTGCAAACAAAGCCCGCGAACTGTCACGCGGAACTGTCTGTACACCCGAACCATGTTCACTGTTCACGTTTTCGACAAAGAGAAGTTTTTCGCCTCTTTTGCTGCAACAAATGCAATTTAATTAATAATTAATAATAATATTTGAATTTAATTTAATTCCACTTTTTGAACGCCGCTGCGGCGCCAGTCCGCAAAGTTTCGGGGTGTCTGCACACCGGCTGCGAGCGCATGCAGCGCTGCACAGCTGAGGGGCTCCCCGCGAGAGTTTGGGAGTTCCATTTTGCTTTAAAAAGAAACAAATGAATAAAAATAAATAATTTAAATTCAAAAATTCAAACAAAGTGCAGCGAAGTGGCCTATTAGGTCTTTTTGGCGCAGCGGACCGCGAGGATCCGTGCTTGCATGCGCTGGGGCTGTCGGAACTTGAACGGGAAGGAAACTTCGGGTCTTTTGCATCACTTTTGCATTTTAATGATTAGTTTGAATTGCATTTAATTTATTTCATTTCTTTTTAGCTTTTTGCGTCGAAAACGCTGCAGATCACACCGAGACCCGCCGCCCGAGCAGCAGCGCCTTCTCGCCAGCCAATTGCCCCCGTCCTTCCCGGAAAACGCGGAAAACAACAAAGAAATGGCAAATTGAAAAGCTAGTAAACAAATAATTGGCTTTGTTGACAAATGAAAGCGAAAAAAACGAAAAAGAACGGCAGCAAATTGGGAAAATGCTGAGGCTGACAGCAGCGCTGCAGCACTGGCACTACAAGGCCTGGCAGCGGTCGACTGCGGGTTATTTGCGCACTTGTGAGTTCCAAATTGCGAAAATTAATCAATTAAATGCCACTTTATTTCCCATTTTAATTCTTATTGCAATTAGAGAACAATTTAATTCTTTTGCGCCTTCAAAAAGACCCAAGATGAACCGAACGGCAGCCCCAGCCGCGCGCTGTACGTACACCCCAAGACTGCATGCACTGCACCACCCGTTTTCTTTCTTTTTTAATCTGAAATTAAAATGGCCACTTGTCATCAATTAATGGAAGTAATTTGTCAATTAATTTGCTTATTTCTTTTGTTTTAATTTAATTTTAATTTAATTTTAATTTAATTTTAATTTAATTTTAATTTAATTTAATTTCTTTTGTTTTGTTTTATAGTCATGAAAAACAAACTGCCCAACAACGAGCTCATCGGATATGTCATAAACGACAAACACCCCAAGTCCATCCGCGTGGCTTGTGACAGGTGAGAGACCTGCTGCTGCTGCTGCTGCTGCTGCAGCAGCAGCAGCAGCAGCAGCTGCTGCTGCTGCTGCAGCTGCTGCTGCTGCTGCATGTGCCTTATTTGTGGCTTTGAATTGATTAGTTTGCTGCAAAAGGTCCGTTTAATTAGCTTTGATGAATTGCTGCAGTGCTTCTTTTGCTGCAGCAGCTGCTGCTGCTGCTGCTGCTGCTCATTTAAATCCCCTTTTATCTCCTTTTATCTTTTGCTTCTTTTAATTTATTTTAATTTCTTTTAATTTCTTTTAATTTCCTTCTTTTAATTTCTTTTAATTTCTTTTAATTTCTTTCTTTTAATTTCTTTTTTATTCTTTTTTGTTTCTTTTGTTTCGATGCTGCATGCGCTCGTGTTTATGAGCTGTACGTACACCCCAGCGGGCCCCACACGCACAAAGGGCTGCATGCAGCAGCAGCTGTTTTGCCCACGAAGGCCTTAAAGAAGTTTTGCATTTAAATCATTTTTAATCATTTTTAATCATTTTTAATCATTTTAAATCACTTTAAATCACTTTAAATCATTTTAAATAACTTTAAATCATTTTAAGTCATTTTAAATCACTTTAAATCATTTTAAATCATTTTAAATCACTTTAAACAATTTTAAATTGAGGTGGACCACTGGACCACCCCCAGTGGTCCACCCGCGTGGCAAATAGAGGCCACTGGCGTGCAGCAGCAAAGCTGCAGAGTGACCAGTGGTCCATTTGCTGCAGCTGCAGCAAATGCAGCTGCTGCTGGAGAGCAAGTGGGTCCATTTGCTGCAGCCTGCTGCAGCAAGTGGACCCACTTGCTGCAGCCTGCTGCAGCAAATGGACCCACTTGCTGCAGCCTGCTGCAGCAAATGGACCCACTTGCTGCAGCCTGCTGCAGCAAACGGACCCACTTGCTGCAGCCTGCTGCAGCTGCCTTTGCTAGATGGGGCAGCTCAGACCATTGGTCCACTTGCTGCAGCCTGCTGCCTGCTGCTGCAGCAGGAGGTGCCCAGTGCTCCATTTGCTGCTGCAGCAGGAATGCCCAGTGGTCCAGTGGTCCACTGCCTGCTGCAGCAGGTGCTTAGTGCTCCACTGGCTGCTGCAGAGGTGCCCAGCGGTCCACTGCTGCTGCAGCAGCTGCCCACTGGTCCACTGCCGCTGCAGCAGAAGTGACCAGTGGTCCACTGCAGGTGACCAGTGGTCCACTTGCCTGCAGGTACATGTACGTGGTGCGTTATAAAAAGACCTTTCGGTACACGAAGAAGGTGTGGGCGCACGACGAGGCCGGGGAGGCGCGGCTGGGCGATGTGGTGCGGCTGCAGCCGCTGGGCCACCGCATAGGCCCTTGGAAGAACTATTTGCTGCTGCAGGTGCTGCACAGGGAGCCGCGGGAGGCTTCGCCGGCGCTGGAGTGACCAGTGGACCACTGGTGGTCCACTGGCCACGCGGCTGCTGCCCGTAGGGCTGGCTGGGGGGGGGAATGGGGAGGAAATGCGGGAAAAACGGGTTTCTTTGTTTTGAATTCTTTTTGCTGAACAATTGATTTTATTTTAAATAAAAGAGACGCATTTGTTCGCTCTGAGGCCACTGCAGCGCGGAACCCGCTGCGGGTGACCAGTGGTCACCGGGCTGCTTCGCCGCGCGGTGTTCCGGGGGCGCGGGCTCGCGGAGTTGGAACAATTTTTATCGTTTATTTTTCATTGTTTTTAATCATTTATTTTTCTTTGTTTTTGTTTTATTGTTTTATTCATTTGTTGCACTTTTTACTGCATTGACATTTTCGCAAATCCGCTCTGAGGCACGCGGGGGTCCTGGAGGTTGAGGCGGCGCTGCTCCGCGGCTGCTTCGTTGATGGCTTGCATGGCTGCGGGGGAATAAGCGGAATAAAGATGAAAAGTACTTCAAATTTTGATATTTAATTCAATTTAATTCAATTTAATTCAATTTAATTCAAATTAAAACAAATTCGACTGCACTTTCCCCACTTTCCGCCGTCTTGGCTTCCCCCTCGGCGCCCAGCGCCGCAGGGTCCAGCGGCCGCACCGAGACAGCCGGATTTGGAAATTCGAAAATGCTCGGGGAGGGCGGCCGGGGAGTGACGCTGCAGAATAAAAATGAGAAAATAATAAAATAAATAATAAAAAAAAACAAAATATAATTTTTTAATTCATTTCTAACGCTGGAAACCCCGAGATCGCCCGCGCCGGGGGCTCACTCTCGCACTGCTTGCGCCTGCAGGGGAAGCAAGTGGAATTGGAAGAAATTAAATTAAAATGAATTTTGAAAAAGCCCTACTCGTTGAATTCCTTCCATTTCCTGTACATACACCCCAAAAGGGGGGGAGGAACAAGTTTTTGGGCTTGAACAGTTTCATTTCAAATTATTTTTCGGACCTTCACTGTTACGCCGTTGACGAGAACTTGGGGCTTTCCCAGCGGGCTGTCTTCTCTGTGGGGATTTAAATGAAAGAAGTGTTTTAATTTGATCATTTAATTTATTTTTGCAAAGTTTTTGCAAAGTTTTTGCAATTAAATGCTGCATTTCATCTCTTTTCAACTTTTCGGAAATGAATCTTCAGTTACAAGTGAATGTTTATTCCGCTGGGCTCCGCCACAGGCATTCTTTGCTCAAGTGCTTCTTCTTTTTCCCTGCATGCAGCAAAAGAATTAAATCATTTAAACAAAAGAATTAAATCATTTAATTCAAATTTCAACTTTAATTAATCCATTTGAGGCTTTTGCATGCACATATGCATGCATATACATGTATATATCAACATATATATATTATATACATATATATATGCATACATATACATAAATGTGCATATATATATTATATATATCATACTTTATAAGTGGTAATAATAACAACAATAACAATAATAACAATAATAACAATAATAACAATAATAACAATAATAACAATAATAACAATAATAATAACAACAACGATAACAACAAATCACAATAACAATAACAATAATAATAACAATAACAATAATAAGAATAATATTAACGACAATCATAATAATAAGATTAATAATAAAAATAATATTAATAAAAATAAAAATAAAAAATAAAAAATAAAAATAAAAATGAAAATAAAAATGAAAATAAGGCCCCAACTTTGAAAAGTCTTGGAAATATTTTCGAAGTTCAAATTTGAACTCCGCGGAATATTTTGGCCCACATTTCATCTCCAGCTTCTGCGGGCAGTTTGCCCTTCTGCAGCAGCAAAGTGTCGTTTTTCATTTCAATTTCTTTTAATTTAATTTATTTAATTTAATTTAATTTATTTAATTTAATTTATTTAATTTATTTAATTAATTACATTTATTTAATTAATTTAATTTAATTTAATTGGCTAAATACCACTCCAGTTTCTTCGCAAAGAATCGCTTCGTGGAGGTAATTCATCCATTCGTTTCGGCTGTGCAGATTTCTGAGGGGCGCGTTGGAGTTGAATTGATTTGATTTTCAATTCAAACAAATTGAACCAATTTCGAATAAATTGAATTAATTAAATGAATTAAATTAATAAATAAATAAATTAATTAAATTAATTAATTAATTAAAGAGCTGCGGGCTTCACCTGGCGCAAAAGACAGTGCCGAAGTCTTTGTTCAACTTCACGAGGAAGCAGCGGTCGTCGACAGTTTCGAGGGGAATTTGAACATCTTTGAGTTTGAATTCTTTCTCGAGTGTCTGCAAAGAACAATAAATGCAAAAAGGGCCCAAAAAAGGTCCATTTGAAGGCCATTTTTGCCTCTTTGGAGGCCCCGCGAGACCCACCGCCCCAGTGAAAGCTGCAAAAGAACTTCTCGACAACTGCGCATGCACCAACACTGCTGCCTCCGGCTCCGAATTATCCACTGCCATTGTCAGCAGTCCTTTGTGGCCTGAAAAGAGGGAAAAGAAATACTTAGGAGTTGAGTTTCGAAAGAGTTTCGGGCTCAGCAGCAGCAGCAGCAGCAGCAGCAGCAGCAGCAGCAGCAGCAGCTGCTGCTGCTGCTGCTTACCCTCGCCGCACTCCCGCATTTGCGTCTCCTTGCTTTCCCCCTTTTGAATGAACTGGGGCGGAAATTCAAAACTTTCCAAAATCGAGTTTTCGCTCAAGTCCAGCTGCGGCTGCCTGCGCCCGATCCGGCGCTGCTGCAGCCTCTCGGCGAGAAATTCGGAGTGCGCGAAGGAAGCTGACCAAAACGCCAAAACTGACAGCCTCCACATTCTCATTTGAATAAATTAAACTTAAATATATTTTTGGCAAACATTTAAATCTTCTGGCGCTTCAGAAAGCAGCAGATCGCCGCGCGCCAGCCTGCAGCCGCAGCGGAAGCTGCGCATACACCCCATTTTCGTGGTAAGGAACGAAGCCGAATACAACTTTCTGGACTTTCTCCCGAATTTAAAATGAAAAACTCCGTTTGTCCACTAAATCCTGGACAGTTTTACTTTTTTAGACTTAATTTCTCAATAGTTTTGCCTTTTAGACTTAATTCCGCAGCAGTTTTATTCATTTTCGCCACCCCTAGCTGCAGCGAGGCAGCTCCCAGCCGCAGCTTCGAACTTGCGTTTCTGCCCGCAGTGGCCGCGGCTGGGGTCTAATCTAAGCAGCAAAAGCTGCACGCAGCTGCTGCAGCAATACCTGCAGGAGCAGCAGCAGCAGCAGCTGCTGCTGCTGCTCTGACCTGTGCTGCAACTCAACTCAATCCCGCTAAATACTTATACGGCCCTGCAGCTTGCATGCAAAGAAGTGTCTTACGGGCCAAAAAAATCCCCCAGTATCTTTGGGAGCGACGGCTGCAGCAGCAGCAGCAGCAGCAGCAGTGCCGGCGCTCCTTTCAGCGGCCTTTGGACGCCCTGCTGCTGCTGCTGCTGCTGCTGCTTTTGCTGCTGCTTCCGCCACTTGAAGGACTCAGCAGCAAACTAGGCATACTCAATGCCGCGGACAGAAATGTCTATTGGGGTGGAGGTGTCAACTTCGCCTGTCAGGCGGCTGTCCCCCTTAGCCAGTTTCCCCCAGGAAACTATTTCCCAAGTAACAGCAGCAGCAGCAGCAGCAGCAGCAGCAGCAGCAGGGGGGGGTTCCCCTGCGGCAGCGGCGCTGCTGCTGCTGCTCTTGCTGCTGCTCCAGTGAGCCCGCACAGTGTGGATTTCTGCGTTCAGCTTCGGAGCATTTGTTTTCACATTCATTGGAACATTTCTGAAAAAGAAAAAAACAAAAAAAAGAAAAACAACAGCAGCTGTAGTGACACCGCAAACAACCAGTCGCCGGCAGCAACCCGGCAGCCACCGCGCGCTCGGGAGGGGGGAATACGGACCCTAAATGCGATAAAAGAGAATTAAATTAAATTAAATTTATTAAAAATAACAAATTAAATGCAATTGTTGTTTGTTTTAATGAAGATCGCGCTGCTTACCGCACAAGTCGGAACAGATCGTCCAGCACTCCCCCGTGGGTCACCACCAGAATCCTCTCGCCCAAGTGCTTTTGGGTCACTTCCAGGAAAAACTCCTTTACTCTGTCGTAGCTGCAAAACAAAAAACAAAACTTTTGCTTTTGTGGCCCTCGGGGCTCAGTTTCAGCGGCCATTAGTGCTGCTAATTGCTCTTCAGCAGCAGCAGCAGCAGCTGCTGCTGCTGCTGCTGCTGCGTTCGAATCTGGGCTGCAGCAACGCGCAAAGTGCCAGCAGCAGCTGCTGCAGCAGCAGCAGCAGCAAGCGTACCGCTGCTGGAAACTCTCTCCGCCTGGGAATACAAACGAAGGGTCTCTGAGCAGCAGCAGCAGCAGCAGCAGCAGCAGCAGAATGACACCCTGCTGCGCCTCAGATGCATGCAGATCTTGGAAAGAAATAAAAATAAACAAATGGCATTCAATTAAGAATATAAAAGTTGAAAACTAAAAAGAAAATCTCAAGTTTGTTCCTACCTACTTTTATCCCAAGCGTTCCACTCCTTCGGAAACAGAGAAGGCAATTCTTCCAGTAAATGACCTGCGCAAGAAACGAAACCCTAAACCCTAAACCCTAAACCCTAAACCCTGAACCTTAAACCCTAAACCCTAGACCCATTCTGCAGCCACGAATGCAGCAGCAAGGCAGTCAAAAGTAATAAAAGTTTGTCGGCTGTGCGCACTGAGACAGCGGCCAGCAGCAGCAGAGGAAGCAGCAGCAGCAAAGGACAAAAAGTGGAATAAAAGGGGCAAATAAAAGCCAAAAAAGAATAATAAAGGAATAAAAATGGTGGAAAATAAATAAATAAATAAAAGAAGTTCATACCCTGCAGTATTCCCGCATTCCATTCTTGCAATCTGCTGTCCAGCACGACAGCGCTTTCTATGCCGGCTGCTTCCCGAATGCTGGCGCAAAGTCGCAATTCAAATAATGCAATTTGTGCTCTTTTGCATTTAATTTATTTCTTTTTCAATTTTATTTCAATTAATCTTCAATTAATTCGACAATTAATCTCCAATTAATTGCAAAATTCTCACATTGCAACAAATGCGAAACGGAAGTCACAATTCCATCAATTCATCAATTAGTGCTTTCCGCATTCAATTTGTTTCCTTTTTTCGAATTAAGAGCCACGCAAGCTGCTGATTGGCAAATAAATTACTTTTATTTATTTTCGATTGGCAAATAAATTACTTTTATTTGTTTTTGTTTGAAAATGAAAAAGATTTCGACATACATCTCCGCGGACTCGCGAGTCCGCCCCAGCGGGCTGGAGTAGATCGCAGAGATTGCCGCGCCCTTCGGGCCACCGAAGAGGTTCCTGTGGGAAAGCGCAGCAGCAAAAAGAAAAGAAATGAAATTAAAATGAAAAGAAAAGAAATTAAAATGAAAAGAAATGAAATTAAAACGAAATAAAAGAAAATAAAAAGAATTGGAAACGCAGGAGGCGCGCAGAGGCGAGCTTTCCCTCGGATCACTTCACCGGAAACATGAATAGGAATGCAAATCCACACAAGACCAAAACGTGAATGCAGCTGCTACGGGCCGAAACGCCCGGTTTTGCGGTCTTTCTTTGCAATAATTTCGAAATAAATTCAATTAATTTAATCAATTAAACTCATTTGCATTTATTTTGTCCATTTATTCCTTTTGTTTCCCTCGAGACTCACCGCAGGCGGCGGCCGCATTCGCGGCACTGCTGTCGCCCAGTGTCGTTCAGCGGCACGTCCAGCTGGCCCTGCAAAAAAAGTGGAAAGCGGAAATAAATGATCCAAACAACAACAAAATAAACATTTTAAATAAAATAAATGGAATAAACTTCACAAATAAAAGAAAAAGAAGCCTTGGCCGCCGCTGCAAAGCCGGGAATCTTGCACGTTCAAGAACGCTCCCGGTTTCCCTGTCAGTGCAGCAGCCGCGCTGCTCCCAAGGAACAAGTGCAGCAAAACTGCAGCAGAAAGCCTTTAATATTAAATATATATTCAAAATATTTCTAATTAATGAAAAATATTCCATTAAATGCGCAAAGCTGCAGCAACAAGCCCCAGATCGGCTGCCCACCTGCAGCCGCCGCTGCGCGTTGTAGTCCGTCAGCCCGTGGCGGACAGCCAGCAGCTCGCAGCAGTTTTTGAGTTCTTGAGGAGGGTCTGGGGGCGGCTGCATTGCTGCTGCTGAGGGTTTAGGGTTTGGGGTTTAGCTGAAGCAGCAGCAGCAGCAGCAGCAGCAGCAGCAGCACCTGCTGCTAGTCCGCGGAAAGGCTTGAAGGGCCGCAAGAGTTCAGGTCCAGTGGGGTGACCATTGGTCAACAGCGCGCGCCGCTGCAGCCATGAGAAATGGCTCGCTCGCTGTTGTCCGCTGCTGCTGCAGTCCGCAGCAGCAGCGCAGCAGCAGCAGCAGCGCAGCAGATGCTGCTGCTGCAGCTCGTCAGTGCTGCAGTGAAAAGTATTGTTGCTCTTTGTTTCGGGGAGTGCAGCAAAAAGAAGAAACGAAGACGCGAGACTGCAGCAGCAGCGCAGCCACGCTAGCGCTGCATTGCAGCACACAGAGCGAAGTATCTTCAAAAAGGTCTTTTTCTTTTTTCAAAATTCAGAAAATATAAATTAGAAAAGATAAATTTCAAGTTTTGACGGGCCTGACAGCAGCAGCAGCAGCAGCAGCAGCAGCAGCGCCCTGTGCCACCGCCGCAGCCGCAGCCGCCGGCGGTGGCTGCTGGGGCTTTCTTGCTGCTGCACCTTTGGGGAAAAGTCCGTTTAAATATATTTAAAAGATCAAAAAAGCAAAACAAAATGCAAATTAAATTCAAGTTTTAATTTATAATTGCGAAGTTTGCGAAAAACGCGAACTTTCCCGCTGGCCACCAAGCCCCGACACCTGAACTGCTGCAGCCGTGGGGCTGCTGCTGTTTGCTGCAGCAGCAGCAGCAGCAGCAGCAGCAGCAGCAGCCAGGGGCTGGCAAGGGGCAAAAGAGTTAATTGCTTTTCTGCAGATCTTCTTGCTGTTTCGTTTTCTCTTTCGCCCCCCTCTTCTCTTTAGAACAGTACAAACGCTGGAAAATGGTGAGGCCTTTTGCTGCTGCTGCTGCTGCTGCAGCAACCCCACAGGCAGCCTTTGCTGCAGCGCAGCAGCTCTTCTCCGCCTTCAATTTATTTCATTTTTGCATTTCTTTTTCAAATCCATTTCCACTTTTTGCTGCTGCGCCTCTCGGGGCCACGCCGAAGGGAAGGCCTGCGGCTTCCCCTCAGCACTTGGCCCCTGGAAGTTTCTTTTTTTGTTTTGATTTATTTAATTTCCATTTCCGCTGTTCTCCCTTCACTTCCGGTGTCTGTACACTGCAGCGGCCCCTGGGGACCGCCCCGGGGGCCCCAGGGGCTGCTGCTGCTGCTGCTGCAGCCCCGGGGGCCCCCAGGGGCTGCTGCTGCTGCTGCTGCTGCTGCGCCCCTTCGGGCCTTCCAGCCCCGCTCTTGGGCTTGAGTGGACCACCGCTGCGTGTGGAGTGGTCCACTGGTCACGCGGCGCTGCGTGGAGCGTTTGAGGGTGTTGGGGGGGCTGGGGCGCTCGTTTGTGTCCCTGCATGGAGGCCCGCCTCTTGCAAGTTCAAGTTTTATTTTTTTGAATTTTAATTTTGTTTTATTTCTTCTTTTTTGTTCGAACTTGCAGGGGCGCGTCCGAACGAAAACAGTCAAGCGCGCGGCGCGCCAGATCGTCGAGAAGTACTACGCGAAGTGAGCTGCCGGTGCTGAGGAAGCGAGTGGAAAGCGAAGGAATATGACGCATTTTGCATTTTATTTTGTTCAAATTCAATTAATTTTGCTTTTTTTATTCAGGTTGACTCTGGATTTCCAGATCAACAAGAAGATCGCAGAAGAAGTGGCGCTCATTCCCTCAAAGCGCATTCGCAACAAGGTTGCGGGGTTCATCACTGTACGTACACCCCAGACCTGTGCAGTGCAAGTGGCGGCAGATCTCTTTTTGCGCCTTATATTCCGCTTTTATGACCAATAAAATGCGGATTTTTTTCGTTTTAAAGCTGACTTATCGCCATTTATTTCCATTTTCCGTTTCTTTTCTCGTTTCGCGTTTCTTAGAGAGGAAAAGAGGCTTTTGAGGCGTTTCTTTGGCGTTTTTGCGTTCCGCAGCACCTGATGAAGCGCATTCAGAAGGGGCCTGTCCGCGGCATTTCGCTGAAGCTGCAGGAGGAAGAGAGGGAGCGGCGGATGGACTTCGTTCCGGAGAAGTCCGAAATTGATGTTCCAACAATTCAAATTGACCAAGACACTGAGGAGATGCTGCAGGCCCTCAACATCTCCCTGCCCAACGTCACTGTGGCCTCCGCCCACAGGGGCGGCATGGGCGGCAGGCCCATGCGCGCCTGAGCCGCTGCACCAGTGGACCACTGGTCCACTGGTCACGTGACCAGTGGACCACTGCTGCGGGGATTCAACAAAGGCTTTGCATGCTTTTAAGGGTTTCTTGTTTTCGGGTTGTCTTCCAGGGCCCTCTGCGGTGTACAGACACTGCTCCTTAGCCGTAGTAGAAGTAGAAGTGGAATTAAATGGACTTCATTTTATTTCTTTTCCAGAAAAATAAAATGAAGTCCATTTAATTAGAAGTCTTAGATTCAGAGCTGCTGCCCCTTGTGGGCCCCGCTGGGCTAGACGGCGCCTTAGGCCAGCTCCAGTTAGCAGCAACTGCAGAACTCTAGCGCTGGCTAGCTAGCTGGCCGGCTAGCTAGCTAGCTAGCTAGCTACTTGGCTAGCTAGCCAGCTAGCCAGCTAGGTAGCCAGATAGCTGGCTAGCTAGCCAGCTAGCCAGCTTAGCTGGCTAGCTGGTGGACACGAGCTAGCTAGCCATTGGGGGGTGGGGGCGTCTTCGGCGGCGGCGGGAGCCGCCTGGAGTTGGGGCTGAGGGCCCAAATGGATTAAATTTGAATTAAAAGTAAATTTGAATTAAAATTAAATTTGAATTAAAATTAAATTTGAATTAAAATAAAACTTAAAAAGAAAAATAAGACTAAGACTGCATGCAGTGGACTGCAGCAGACCGGCGCGTCTAGCTGCGCGGGAGCAGCAGGGGGTGCTGCTGAGCATTTCTGTGGTTTGAAATGATAAAAAAGACCTTTTTATGATTTTAATTTGATTTTAAATTGCATTTTGGAGTTTTATTTGTTAATTTGCTGCTGCTGCTGCTGCTGCTGCTGCTGCTGCTCGCCGCGTGTCTGGTGAGCAGCTGGGAGCCACACAGCGCAACCCCACCACAGAAACACTGGCCTCCCTCCCCTGTGCAGCAGCAGCAGCAGCAGCAGCAGCAGCAGCCTGCTGTCATATTTTTTCCTTTTTTGTATTTGTTTAAGGATTAAGAAACGCTGAAGTCTTGCTGCTGCGCTTTGCTGCTCTCCCTCCCCCCGTTTTCCTGCTGCTGCTGCAGCAGCAGCACAGGCAGCGCAGCTGCCATAGAGTCTAAACCCTTTGTAGCTATGTATGAATGCCTGCAGCAGCACAGACAAAGCCAGCTGATTCTGCTGCTGCTGCTGCTGCTGCGCAGACACGCCAACCAGCAACGGCTGCAGCGACGCAGCACATTCGCGGCCGAACCCTGTTGCTGCTGCTGCTGCAGCAGCCACCTGCTGCAGTCAGCTGCTGCTGCAGCAGTTGCTGCTGCTGCGTCCGTGGCTGCTGCTTGAAACAGTGCTTGCTGCTGCAGCTCGGGCTGGCTCTGCAGGAGGTCCCCCGCTGCAGCCGTGCCGCTGCTGCTGCAGCAGCCCAGCCTGCTGCAGCACAGGAACGCTGCTGCTGCCTGCTGCAGCAGCAAACTTCCCCTTTTTCTCTCCCGAGACCCCACAACAAAACTTAATGGAAATAACAACTGAAAGGGATCTCTTAGGAGCTGCGCATGCAATGAGTCGGCTGTCTGTACAGCACGAGTGGCTGGTGGAGCTGCCGCAGCCGCGCTGCTCGCTGCCGGGGCCTTTTGCTGCTGCCTCTGCAGCAGCAGCAAGCGACAGCAGCAGCACGACCAGCAGCACCGCCAGCAGCACCGCCAGCACTGGCAGCAGCAGCAGCAGCAGCAGCTGCTGCTGCTGCCCGCTGCAGCAGCCGCATGCATTTGACTGGGTCCCCGCAGTTGCTGTTCTCAGCGACGCAGGCCTTGACGTGGGGGGCGTTCTTGTGTCTCTGTTGGACATTGTGTCTGTCTCCATCTCCCCTCATCCTCACAAAGCCTTGCAGCAGCAGCAGCAGCAGCAGCAGCAGCGGCAGCAGCAGCAGCAGCGGCTGGGAAGCGGGAATTCCCCACGGGTAGAAGACGACGCTGCAGCAGCAGCGGGAGGGGGTGCAGCAGCAGCAGCAGCAGCAGCAGCAGCAGAAGCCGCAGGAGAGTACTCTGGGGCTGAAGCTGCTGCTGAGAAGGAGAACGTGCTGTGGGCTTGCGAGCAGCAGCAGCAGCAGCAGCACGTGCAGCTGGTTGTGCTGCTGCGGTCGGCGCTGCCAGCAGCAGCAGCAGATCCTCCCCTTTACTTGCCGCCGGCGGAGGCCAGTGCTGAGGCCGGCAGCTGTTTGATCATGCGAGCTCCCGCAGCAGCAGCAGCAGCAGCAGCTGCTGCTGACGGCGCTGCTGCTTGCTGCTCCCTGGAGCAGCACGGCAGCAGCAGCTACGCGGGCGCTGCTGCAGCAGCAGCTGCTGCTTCGCTGCTGCAGCGGCTGCAGCAATTCATCAGCCGAGTCCGCCCCACGTTTTGTTCGCTGCGGAAGCGCGCAGCAGTGACGGAGGACATTCGCGCGCGTTTCAAGCAGCAGCAGCAGCAGCAGCAGCAGCAGCACGTGCTGCTGCCCGCAGCAGCAGCAGCAGAAGTGGAGCGACTCAAAGCAGCAAAACAACTGCATCTGCTGCTCGGAGGCTTTCTGCTGCGGGACTGTGCTGCTCTGGAAGAGGCCGTGGCTTACGCCCCGCTTGCGGTGTACGTACACCTGGAAGCAGCAACAACGCTGCTGCCGCTGCTGCCAGCAGATCCTTCCTTTTACCCCACGTGGAAGCGCGTGATGCTGCAGCAGCGGCGGCTGCAGCAGCAGCAGCAGCAGCAGCAGCAGGCGGCGCGCAGCATCTCGCCGATGTCAGCTTTCCGCAGCAGCCGTTCCCCCGCTGCGGTTGCGGCTCCCGCGGCTGCTGCTGCGGGCGCCGCCGCCGCTGCTGCTGCTGCTGCTGCTGCTGCTGCTGCTGCTGCTCCGTTTCGCGTGGAAGGCGGCGGCTGCAGGCTGGCCAAGAGCAGCAGCAGCTGCTGCGAAGACGCGTTCTTCTGCCTGGAGAAAGAAGGCTGCTTCGGAGTATTTGACGGAGTCGGAAGCTGGGCTGTTGAAGGAGTTGATGCTTCTCGTTTTTCGGAAGGACTTGCTGCTGCTGCTGCAGCAGAAGCAGCAGCAAACCTGGACCCCGAGAACATGGCCCCCGAGTACCGCGCGCTGGACCCCAACGCGCGCGCGCGGCTGCTGCTGCACAGGGCCCATGCTGCAGTCTGCAGCAGCAGCGAGAACAGGTGGGGCAGCAGCACAGCAGCAGTGGGGTGTATAGACACCCGAACTGGCCGCCTCGGCGTGGCCTGTCTCGGCGACTCCGTGCTGATGGTGCTGCGGCGGCAGCTGCTGCCGAGCAGCATGTCTTTTTATGCTGCAGAAGTTCCCGCGGTGCGGCCGGAGGCGCTGCTGCTGAGCAGCAGCAGCAGCAGCAGCAGCAGCAGCAGCAGCAGCAGCAGCCGCTTCCCGCGGCTGCTGCGGCGCTGCTGCTGGCGCACCAAGGAGCAGCGCTGGGAAAACGGAGCCCCCTACCAGCTGTGCAACCTGCCCGCCCGCAGCAGCAGGCAGCAGCTGCAGCAGCAAGGCTTCGAGCGCTTTGTTGCAGTGCTGCAGAAGATCGACCCCCAGGGAGACACAGCAGCAATGGCCTACGCCCCGCAGCAGCCGCTGCTGCTGCAGCCAGGTGACCTCGTCTTGGCCTTCAGCGACGGAGTCGGCGACAACTTGTTCGACCGCGAGATCGAAGTCTTCTGCTCCCTCGCCCTCTCCCCCGACGAGGCCCTGCTGCTGCAGCAGCAGCAGCAGCAGCAGCAGCAGCAGCAGGGGAAGGAACAGCAGCAGCAGCAGCAGCAGCAGCAGCAGGGGAAGGAACAGCACACCCAGCAGCAGCAGCAGCAGCAGCAGGGCAAGAAACAGCACACCCAGCAGCAGCAGCAGCAGGGGAAGGAACAGCACACCCAGCAGCAGCAGCAGCAGCAGCAGCAGCAGGCGGAACGGCCCTCTATTTGCTTCACGCCGGCACAGGACGTGGCGGAGTTTATTGTCAAAATTGCAAAAAAGAAATCTCAAGATGGCGTAAGCTGCTGCTCCACTTTTGCTGCTGCTCCACTTTTGCTGCTGCTCCACTTTTGCTGCTGCTCCACTTTTGCTGCTGCTCCACTTTTGCTGCTGCTCCACCTTTGCTGCTGCTCGTGTCTGTTTGCTTGCTGCTTGCTGCACCGCACTTGCCTGGCCCTCTACACCCGCAGCAAAATTCAATCATCTCCGCCGCTGCTGTTGCTGTTGCTGCTGCTGCTGCTGCTGCTGCATGCGGGCGTGTGTTTGCTGCTTGGGTTTGCTGCAGCTGTTCGAGCGCCCGTTTGTTGCAGCACCTGAAGGCAGCAAGCCGCTGCCCGCCCATTTAGCAGCAGCAGAAGGAGAGGGATTTCGAGGAGGCAAAAGAGATGACATTAGCTGCGTGGCGCTGTGGGTCACAGCTGCAGTGCAGACACCGATGCCTGCTGCTGCTGCTGCTGCTGCTGCTGCTGCAGCCGCAGAGACTGCAGCAGCAGCTGCACCGCTTCCCGCTGCAGCAGCAGCTGCAGAAGCAGCTGACTCCGTCGCGGTGACTGTGGAGGCTTCCACCCAGGGGGAGGAGCTCTCTGCTGGGGCAGCACAAGAAGAGCAGCCCGCAGCAGCAGCAGCAACAGCAGCAGCAGCAGCAACAGCAGCCTCTGCTGCTGCCGCTGCCGCGTCGCCACCTGCAGGTGGTGAAGGCGCCCGAGCACTCACGCCCTCACCGGCAGCCGAAGCAGCAGCAGCAGCGGCGTCCGCTGCTGCTGCTGCTGCTGCTAAGTCCCGCAAAGCAGCAGCAGCTGCAAGTGTCGGTACACCCAAGCTGCTGCACCGGTTCTCGCGTGCTGCTCGGCTGAGCCCCAGCAGCAGCCGCTTAGCAACCCCTGGGGCTTCCCCTTCAAGCTCAGTCTCTGCAGCAGCAGCCCCAGGAACCCCAGGGACCCCCGCAGCAGCAGCAGCAGCAGCAGCAGCAGCAGCAGCAGGGGATTCCTCGCGGAAGCGCTCGCTAGCTAAAGGGGCAGCAACCCCACACACTCCCTCCCGCAGCACAGACCGCCTAAACCCTTTGGGGGTTTTGCGCAGAAGATTCTGCAGAGAAGCTGCGAGTCCTGCTTCTCCCACCAGCACCCCGCGGAAGCCCCTTGCTGCTGCTGCTGCTGCTGCTGCAGCGGGAGCAGCAGCAGGAGCAGCAGCGAGTCCTGCTGCTGCTGCTGGCTCGCCCGCGTCGCCCAGCCACGGGAGCGCCAGCCGACTACCCCGTCCAGACTTTGCTGCTTTTGCTGTTCTCCGCGCTGCTGCTGCAGCTGTCAAGACCCGCAGGGGGGGCCCCCCTGGGGGCCCCCCAGAAGGCTCCCCAGGGAGGGGCCCCCCAGTACCCTCTGCTTCCCCTAAGCGAGCAGGGGGGCCCCTGGGGCCCCCCTGGAGGCCCCCCAAGACCCTCCGCCGTGCTGCTTCCCCGGGGCCCCTCTTTTCAGACACTCCTAAGAAACCCTTGAGGCGGCCGGGGCCCCCCAGTGGGGCCCCTGAAGAGGGAGGTGCAGCAGCAGCCCCCGCAGCAGCTGCAGCGACTGCAGCAGCTGCAGCAGCTGCTGCAGCCGAGGGAAAAGGCGCCGCCGCACAGTCTGCGGGGGCCCCTGCTGCTGCTGCTGAGGCTGGAGCGGAAGCCGCGCAGCAAGGGCCTGCTGCTGCAGCAGCAACGCCAAGGAGGCAGAAGCAAGCAGCAGGAGTGGACACAGAAGCAGGACAAGGGAAGCAAGGGGAGAGCAGCAGCAGCAGCAGCAGCAGCAGCAGCAGCAGCAGCAGCCCACAGAAAAAAGAAGCAGCAACAGAAAACGAACAAAGCAGAAAATGCAGCGAAATGCAGCAAACGAATGACGAACAGCCGGACGCAGCAGTCAAGCAGTCAAGGTGTTCCCACACAGGCCTCCAGAAGCAGCAGCAGCAGCAGCAGTCGCAGCAGCAGCAAAGGCAGCAACAGCAGCAGCAGCAGGAGCAGCAGCAGCAGCAGCCAGATGGCCCTGCTTGTCCGGGAACTCAGCGCCGCTCCCGCCGTCTCAGCGGCCGCAGCCTCGAAAGGGCGCCGTTAGCTGCAGCCCCGAGGCGCAGCAGCAGCAGCAGCAGCAGCGCTGGCGTTAGCTGCTCTGTTGCAGCGAAATCAGCAGCAGCAGCACGAGCAGCAAAACGCACGAAACACGCAGAGCAACAGCAGTAGCAGCAGCACAAACGCAAAACCGAAAGCTCGCACAACAGCACAGCAGCTGAGCAGCAGCACAGCCACAGGGCTTGCCCCACAGTGAACTTAAGGTTGTAGTAGCTACAAGAGAGCAGCAGCAGCTGCTGCTGTGGCTGTTGCTGCTGCTGAAGCAGCAGCTGCTGCTGGCAGCTGAGCGAGGCTTGTGCGCCATAGCGCGGCGTAGGTATTCGTGGTGTTTGCATTTTCGTTCGTTTTGTTTTTATTTATCACTGCAGGCTCGCTGAGGTGTACGTACACCTCGGCTGGCAGAAATTTATTTTGGAAGACGCGTTTGCGTTTCTTCCTTGTTTTTGTCTGGCGGGTTCTTGCGCCTCCAGTTGTCTCACTAGCATTTAATATTATCTGTATTTCCGCAATGGTGAAGTTCCACTTCTTTTGTGGGTTGAAGTTGAATCTTTTATGGTTGAAGTTGAATTCCTTCGGGGCGCCTGCATGCAGACTTGTAGTCCAAACTTAGCCGAAATTGCAGTTCTCAGTTCCAAACTTGTTCACTGGCCTTCCAAAGAGCTTCGAAGCATTCTGGGGGCCCCTAGAGGGCCCTTTGGAACTTTAAAAAAAGTGAAAATTGCCCACAGAGGCACTAAGAGGAACAGCTGCTGCTTCCTCGCAGAGGCTAACTGCATTTGCATTTGCAACTGCTCTCTTGAAAATACCCTTTTAGGCCTCCGGCAAATGGAGCTTTTGCAGCACTAAACCTCTATATGGGTCTCGGTAATTAGCGAGAAAGACGGGATTTGCATGTTTGTTTATTTCCTGTCATGAGTTCATGAATACCTTTGCTGTTCACGAGCAGTTCATAAAAAAGTGCAAAAGTACTTGTCACTTGGCGGGCCCGGCGAATAAGTTTATATCCGCCTCTTTGGCCAGCTTTTTCTAATTAATTGGAGTTTATTATTTGGCTTTTGGGTCTTCGTTCAGCTGCTGCCGCACAAAGTCCCAAAGAATCCGATTCACCTCCAGCGGCTGCTCCAGCATAACGCTGTGGCCGGCGCGGCCCACGACGGCCACCGTGAGTGCGCCCTCTTTGCCCCACAGCTCGGGGCTTGCATGCAAGCTGCTGCTGCTGCTGCTGCTGCTGCAGGCCGTGTTGCTGCTGCTGGCGCCGCCGGGCGTCTCAACAGCGCAGGCCGTGTACGGAAGCCGCAGGTAGCTGGGGCCAGGCAACGGAGTGCTGCTGACTGGTGCTGCACCCAAAGCCCTGGAAACAGCAGCAGCAGCAGGGTAAGCAGCACAGACGGAGTCCTCTTCGCCGTAGAGCAGCAGCACGGGGGGCCGGAAGGAGCTGTCGCGGTAAGCTGCTGCAGCTGCGCGCGCAACAAGCAAAGACAAGCAAACCTCTCTTTTGCTGCTCTTTAATCTGCATTTAACTCGCAACATTTCTTCTTTTCGAAACAAACAAACTTCACGAAGTTTGCTCCTCTCAGAGTCAAAAAAACTTGAAAGGAAACACGCAAAGCCACCCATTTAGGACCACAAAGAGGCAAGCAAAAGCGAGACAGGCACAATCACATGAAGGCGAAAACAGAATAGAAAACAAAATAAAGACAAGTTCATCTGAAAAGAGAAACAAACAACCAAATATTAAAAAAAAGAAAATCTCAATGATACAGACACACACAAACAGCAGCATTTGCAAACCCGCATGTCTGATTATCTGCGCCGTGAGAAGAAACTGACTTCCCATTAATTTCACCATTTATTTTATATTTCAATCCACTGAAAAGCCATTATTAACTCTTATTGTCCACTCTTTTATCCGCTGAGTCGTTTAAACTGCCACTCTTTTGCCCTCTGGCTTATCCTTGCAGCTTTATCCTGCTGCTCCTCTTATCACTTGTGTTTCCACTTGTGTTGCTGTTCCTTCTTACGTTTCTACTGGCCTAAAATAAATAGTAATGCCATTTTTAGAATATATATAACAATATGTTTCCTATGCTCCTCTTTGCCCATACATATATAGTTCCCGATACAATATATGCACACACAACTATATATACACAAATATATATATATATATATATATATATATATATATATATACACATATATACTATATAATATATATCTGCATATATAGACAAATAGATATGTAAGAAGGAAAAACATGAAAATATATTTGTCCATTGTGGCTGATGAATTACCCTTGAGGAACTCCTTGCGGCGCTCCCCTCTTTTGAACCAGTTGAGAATTGGCAGAATGGAGTTGAGAGGGTTTTCTGCATTGATGAGTTTTTCGTGTTGAATTAATTGGGGGTTTTCTTTTCGAGTTTCTCTGCCGTAGAGGAGCCGCTGCGCGGGCAGGCTCAGCAGCCAGCGCAGCAGCAGCAGCAGCAGCCGCGGCAGCTGCAGCAGCAGCCAACTAAACCCCAAGTCCACCTTCACTCCTTCCCGCGCGTCTCCTCCAATCAAGCAAATGCCCTTCACTTCTCCGCCCCGGCCCTCGGCCACCAGCTGTCTGTACAGCTCAAGCACCAGCTCACACCCCGAAGAATGCCCAACCAGCACAGCCCCCCCGGGGGCCCCCTGGGGCCCCGGGGGCCCCTGGGGCCCCTGGGGCCCCTGGGGCCCCGGGGGCCCCTGGGGCCCCTGGGGCCCCGGGGGCCCCTGGGGCTTTTCTTCGTTGCTGCGGGTGCCCGCGAGGGAGTCAAAGGCGGCTTTGATAATGGCCTGGGTGTCCTCGAGCGGGCACACTGCAGGGGGGGCCCCCAGGGGCCCCCAGGCCCGGGGGGCCCCGGGGGCCCCCGGGGCCCCGGGGGCCCCCGGGACCCCCTTGGGAAATGTGCTCAGTCCGTGGCCTGGCAGGTCAGGGGCGATGCAGCGCACGCCGCGCTGCGCCAGGTAATGCAGCTGGTGCTGAAACTGGCCGGCGCGGCCGCAGAGGCCATGGACGAAAAAGGCCGAAATGGCCTTCTTTGAAGGGGAAATGGAGGGGCCTTTGGAGGCTGGAGGGGCCTCTGGAGGGGGGCCCTCTATGGGGGCCCCGTCAAGGGGAGTGGCAGATTCCGGTGTGTCGCCCAGCAGCCGCAGGGGCCCCTGGGAGTCAAGGGTGACCACGCGGAACTTCCAGGGGCCCACAGACGCAAACTGAAGACCTAAATGCTTACTTTCGGCTGCGAGAGGGGCACAGCCGCCACACAGTGAGAGGAGGCGGTCTTCCCCCATGGCATCCGCTGGCCGCTGCAGCAACCGCGGGAGGAAAAAGAGGGAATACGAGCTAACCGGAAACAAAAGAGGCCCTCTGCTCCTATTGTTAGCTCGTAAATTTGTACATTAACTTGGCTTCCAATGATCAACTGCTGTATCCCAATTAACTGCCTCGAAAGACGACCAGTAGCCCAGTCAAAATGCTCGCTCAGAAGCTGCACGAGCTGTGTGCTTCGGCAAGAAACTGCGGACAAATTAGGGCAATATTTGCCTCCCACGTAACAGGATAATATAATTGAATTCGATTGTTCCTCCAATAAAAATGCTAATAATCCTGAAGACGAGGCACAGATTGTGCCAGCAAGGCACGACGTACAGGGTTGTTTCAACTGGTCTGTCTCGGCACCGCTGCGACTGGTCTTCCGAAACAAAGCAACAAAAACAACTAGATCAGATTTAAATCTGCATATATTTCATATTAAAGTCCTGTGTTTACTGTTCTATCTATCCTGACACACTTGTGCTGCTATGACTGCACTTGCCTGCTAGAAGTTCACTTCGTGTTTACGATTTCGTTGGCGGCTGACACGACATTCTCAACACTCTGATCCATTCAACTTTTGGCACTTGCTTCATGATTTCAGGGTTTGCAGCTTAGGTTACTGTTCTGTTGCTGCACTGAGCCACTCTCCACGCACACAGAGCTGATTATGCCAGCGTATTCTCTAGGTCTTGAGCCCAGTGTCCACCGGCCTTGTCGCGTGTTAGCTTCCTGAAAAGGAGCCTCAGTATTAGGCGAAACTACCGTAATATGATATCCATTGTGCATTTCTTACAAGATGATGCCTGTGTTATTATTTCCAGGTGTTACTGCATTCCTGCACACATCATGCTGAGGCTCTTGTGTGCTTTTCCCTCGTTTTACGTGCGGCGAAGAGGACCAAAGCAAAATCGTATAGCCGTAGTTATTCTCGAAAATGGAATCAGCTCATGTGTATGTAGTTTTCAGTGGGCCTTATGCTCTTCGTAAGGGCTTTACAGAGCCCTAGGCCCCACTAGAATCAGCAAACGTGGGACTTGCAAAGGTAAAAAGGGGATCAGGTCGAGGAAGCGGCTGGCCCCAACCGCTCTCGTTCTATTTCAAGTGAACAAACAAATAGTTAGAACCTTTTAATCGCCTTCTGGGTGCTTAGCCACCGTATGGCCTGCAGAAGGCTTAGTGGGGCATCATTGAAATACGTTGGCAGAGATTATCGCTGCAGCTGCTGCTTTGCTTCTGCACATGAAATTGTAGCAGCACCAAACGCAGTCTGTTGCAAAGAAAACTAATTTTAATCTTCTGGCTATATTAATGTCTCAAACCTCGTCCAAAGGCCCATGCAGCAGCAACAACTGGGAAGACACCAACACTCAAAGCAACTGCTCCACATGAATGGAAACTACTTCTAGGTTTACAGAAGCACAGACATTCACCTAGGCGACTCTTGCGCCAATTGCCATTTGAGTTTGCATCGTTTTGATCTTTCTCACAAATATTTGAAACAAAAAGGGCCCCTTTTGCTGAGGCCTATAAACTTCCCATATCTGATGGGAATCCCACCACAAGCTGCTGCTGGCGCTGCTGCAGCTGCGTTTTCTTGTCTCTACTGTTGCTGCGAAAGCTTTGCAGAGAAGTTCTTGAGTGCCGTGATGCTGCCGAAGCTGCAGCAACTGCTACGGATGTCTCAGAATCGTGTAAGAATCGCGTAGTAAAAAGTCTCAGTCGGTGCGGGGTGCAGCAGCAAGAATTCTTGCTGCCGCCATCAAAGCTGCTGCTGGTGCCGGTGCAGCTGTAGGCTTCTTAAGGCGATGCCTTCCCGAACACTTGCCTGCATCCATGCAAGCAGCAACAACCTTCAATCTTTAGGAATAATTCAATAAGGCTACCGCTATCATTGCAGCTACAGTAACCCAAGACGTGATGAGGCACTAACTGGGGAGTACCTGTCGACTGCAGCAGCAAAAGAAGCGAGGTTCGAGAACGGCAAAAGCAACATTTCGGGGACCGCAGCTGTTGCATGCAGCTGCAGCATACACAGCAGCAGCAGCAAGTCACGACGCGACATGGAGCGACAGCAGCAGCACCAAAAGCAGGCGTCAGTGAAGCACCGGCAGGAATGAAAAACAAGAAATGCAAAGAAAGCTGCAACAGAAAAGCAAAGACGCCCAAAGCAGACCGGAAAGCACAAGGAGAGACGCAGAAACAGAAAAGGCAGCAGCAGCAGAAAGGAAGCAGCAGGAAACTTACAAACTGCAACTGCTGCAGGTCAGTCAAGCAGTACAACAAAAGCGTCTCTGTTTCTGACTTTTTTGCCCTAGAGGCCATTCGAATGGGGCCCCTGGCAGCCACGGGGGGCCTCAGCCATCCACAGACGCGGTGCTGCAAGTATACTTCAGTGCACTGCAGCAGCACTGCCAAGTCCTGAAGGCACACAAAGCTGCAGCAGCAGCAAACAGGAGCAGCGAAAACAATCAACAGCAGCCAAACATTGCAGCCCTGGTAAACACGTGCAGAAAATTCACATGCCAATCCAGCTCCCCCCAAAAGAAAGGCCCATGTTGTGGCTGCAACTGTTACTGCTGCTGTTACTGGGGTCGCTGCTGTGCCGCCTGCTGCTTCTGGTTGCCGCTGCTGCTGACCACTGCTCTCTGAACTTGTATATCCCCACGTAGACGTCCTGAGCGCCCACGGGGTCTTGCTGCAGAAATTCTCTTTCTTTAAAAAGTTTCAGCCGCTTCGCCTTGCTGCTGCAGGCCAGTTTGCGCCACACTCTGCAGCTCACAGGCCGGTGCAGAGCCCTGATAGTGACCTGAGCAGCAGCACGCAGAACACTGAACAGACAGATGCTGGGGGCAGCACCAGCTTCCTTGTGAACGCCAAACAGAAAGCAAGAAATTGAACAGCACTGAATGCCGCAGAAGAACTGAATAGTCCAAAGCCCGCAAGCTCGCTTTCCTTTTTAAAAGGTTCTTTGAGGAAATCTAGATTCTGCTGCTTCTGGTGCTGCCATGCGCTCACCTTGACTCGAGCCAGCAAGCTTGCGGCCTCGTCTTCTGCTGGAGGTATGATGAGGGCCGAGACGGCACACGAAAGGTACGGAGAGACGCGCGGCTCTGCAGCATCAAGGCTGGCCCTAGCAGCAGCTCTGGCTGCGCTGCTGTGCGCTGCTGCTGCTGCTGCCAGCTTGCAGCAGCAAGACGGATCCGATATTGGAATCTTAGGAATGGCAGACACAAACAAATCTTGCCACTCTGCGTGCTGTCTATCCGCCTCCCCGGCCCCAAAGCTTCCTCTATGAGGACGAATCAGCCCTGCGCAGCAGCATCCAGCCCCAAACACGAGACTGTTCATGTTGCTGCAGCTTCTGCTGGTTCTGCTGCTCTTACTGATACATGCACAAAAGCCTTTCTACCGCCCCAGTCAAACTATCTATTTGAAATTCCTTAAAAAGGAGTGGCATTCCAAAGCAAACAATTCAAAATGAACACTAGGAATGTGTGTACCATTTTAAAAGTATTGTGTTAATAAAGGCTGCGCTCATCCCAAGCCAACTGCAACACAACAGCCCACAAAACAGTGTGCAGCAGCAGCAGCAGCAGCCGCAGCAGCAGCAGCAGCCGCAGCAGCAGCAGCAGTGACTAACCCATGGCGGCGCAATACGAGGCGTGGAAAGTTTTGTATTGGGTTTCGTCTTTGGGAGTCCAGCGACCCCGAGACCCCCTCTGCTGCTTGGATAGAAGAAACACGAGGCCGTGCTGCACTGCGAGGCGGATAGCGAACGCTTCAGCCCGCAGCTCACTCTGCACTTCCTCTGCCAACGCAGCATCAGCTGCTGCACCTCCAGCAGCTGCTGCTGCTCCTGCGGAGGCGCGCTGGGGGATGACAAACAAACGCAGCGCCTGTAACAGCACCAGCAGCAGAAAGTAAAGTCTGCTCCACTAAATGCAGTTTCTGCTTCTGCCAATAATTGCTGGAAAGATGGATGGGGGGCGCAAGAAGGCTAAACAGGAAAGAAGATACATCAAACTGCAGGTCAACAGGAACGCACAGACATGAAGATGACGACGCACCGCAAAACACCAGAACAAATGATGATACTGGACAGAAACAGAGAGAATGGAAGCAGCATAAGAAGCTAAAGCGCACAGCCACAACAGAAGAAATTACAGTGAGAAGACTGTGACAATCGAAGCCGGAACAAGACATACACAGACACGCCAAAACGAAACAGCAGCAACCCACGTGTAGTATTTCCCCAGTCATCTCCACATCTTCAACAGCAATTGCCTCGTGAAGGGCAAAGCGAAGAAAGCGACAGTCCGGCAGCCAAAACCGCTGCCCCAAGTCCAGAGAAAAACGGCCCCAGCCGCTCACAACCAACAGTGCATGCGTCACCTGCAGCAGTCGCCGGGCAAAAGCAGTGTCAGTAGCAGCAGCAGAAAAGCATGCAGCAGCTGCTGCAGCATGTAAACGGGAAAAGAGAGCAATGACAATCAGCAAGGCAAGATAGAGCCTATTTGGGATAGGCCAAAAGCTGTGCAGCAGGAGAAACTCAGGCACCGCCAAACCCAGCAACAGCGCGAAACAGCAGCAAAAGCGGCAACGCAAGAGGAAGCAGCAGCAGCAACAGCGCCGATGACCGCAGTAGCAGAAGTACTGCTGCAGCACTGTTGGTTTTGGCAAAGACGCTGCAGCACATGCAAAGCCAGCAGCAGCTAACGCAATGTACTGCAAGCGAGAGAATTACCATATAGACTTGGTTGCGCCAGTCCTCTGTGCCAAGGTCGCTCCTGTTTCTCCACGGCCGGATGCTTCGAGACATTTCTTTGAGGATTGCTGCCACTAACGAAGTGCTGCTGCTGCTGCTGCTGCTGCTGTTGCTGTTACTGTTGCTGCTCTTGCCGCTGCCAGCAAGAGCCTCAATCCCAGCGCGGTGCAGCAGCGAACCCCAAACCAGCTGCTCAAAAAGACGGCCGAA